TTGCCTTCACTGAATACCATGCCATCTCTTTCTGGCTGTTCACATTTCATCTGTCATGTTGCTTTTGACATTATCATTCCAGAGAAGCTAACATGATGCTAAGTTGTCTGAAAACATTTCTTAGCGTATCCCTGGACTGCACGACTTTTTGTGTTATTTGAAACTTTTTGTGCTTCTTTTGGTTGTGCTCAATATGCAGGTAAACTTTCTTACTTGTCTTTCCTATTTAATTCCTGAGCTTGTTGATTACCCTATTTAGATGTTTTCGTAAACGTATTTCTTTCAAATTTCCTAGAAGGGTATTCCCAAGAATACCATATTTTTCTTTACATCCATTTCTTCATCTCCTATGAATTTATTATTTTACTCATATTTATTATTCAGAATTTCAAACATATCAAAGTATATTGAAGAGTAGTATCCTAGTAATGGCTAGTAATTGTGTCCTTGAGGACAATATATACAGTATATTGCCCCTGCTAGGCAAGCATCAAGCAACTTGCTCTGAGTTAGTGCACTCAGTGACATCGTCGCCTGGGAAGATTCTCTCTGGTCACACTGAATTTTTTCGTAAAAGCAGTTTCACTCAAATATCATTTTTTGTGATGACCAATTTAAGAGAACAGCTAGTGTGTGGCTGTGAAATTTTGTTTCCTGCTTGTGAAAAAATGCCACAGAAACTGTTGTGATGTTGAACACAGTTTACAAGGACAGCACTATCAGAAAAACAAGTGTACTACTGGTTTTCTCATTTCAAAAAAGGAGAAATGTCTATCAATGACAAACCTCATTCTGGACATCTGTCAACTTCCCGAGCAGATGAAAATGTTGACTTGTAGTATATTTGAAGTTCAGTCCACCAGGTCAGACTGTTAATCAAGATTTCTATTTAGAGGTTCTGTAAAGATTGTGTAACACTGTGCAACAAAAGAGGCCTGGTTTGTGGCAGATAGGGGACTGCTAATGCCACCACAACAATGCACCTGTTCATGCAGCCATTTCAGTTCACCGGTTTGGGGCAAAAAACAGCATGCCTCACTTGCCCCATGCACCTTACTCACCTGACCTCGCTCTGTGAGACTTCTTTTTGTGTCTACAAATGAATGAAGAGAGAGATGAAAGGACAACAATTTGACAAAGTAGAAGAAGTGAAGGAAAAAACAAGGAAGTGCTTTCAGCCATCCAAACAGCGGAGTTTGAAAAATGTTTCCAAGAATGGTATCACAGATTTAACAAAATCTCTGACTGCTCCAGATCTTTGCCCTGCTCATGGGTCTCCGGCCTGCTCTGGATTTCCAGCTAGCAGCAACATTTTGCTAGATTTTCTGATCTAACCGTGGGAGCCCAGACTGGGTGATTCTGCATGGACACCATCTTTGTGGAAGTCCTTCATAAGTCATATTAAGAAGATTCCTGTCATCATAACCACAGTAAATTTCAGAATTCATTGTATTTTCAAATAACCTCTTACATTGTTGTGGCTGTTGTTGTTGTTTGGTGCCATCAAGTCAGTTCTGACTCATGTTGACCCCGTATACAACAGAAGGAAACAGTGCCCAAGCCTGTGCCATTTTTGCAATTATGGTTGTCTGAACCATTGTGCCAATCCATTTTGGTGAGAGTCTTCTTTTGTGCTGCTCTTCTGCTTGACATGTTGCCCCTCTCCAGGGACTGTTCTCGCCTGACAACATGTCCAAAGTACGTGATATGCACATTGTTGTTGCCAGGTGCCATTAAACACTGACACTCCTGATTTTAAGTCCCTTTTGAATCTGCTTTGAATTTCTGGCAGGTCTCTTTTACTATACAGCTGCAAGTCTTTTTCAATCATCTTCAGCAACTTTTTTTCTTGTGTGTTTGATAATTTATGCCTTCTTTTAGATCACCATTCTTCGGA